GACAAAACCTTTATCGCTATTTTATTGCGCATTTGAATGCTTTAGGATAGGCGCAATATATATTTTTGTTTTACGTACTTCTGTTAATCTACATTTCTATACTAAAGCAGACATTTTAGCCGTGATATCTTTCGTACAAGACATTCCTTGGACACGTGTATGAGCACGAAACACCCTCAGAAGGTCAATTCTCGTACTAAAAGTTCGGTCACAATTCAATTCCGACCAACTCTCGATCTCACATTATGACATTTGTGTGACCGAGCCTAGATCGAAAATGAGTTTCGATCGAGTTTTTCATTACCTACGAGAATTGGCTTTCAGGTTAAGCCCGAACCTTGTCGGTTTGGGTAACTTAGATTACTTTGTATTAGCACCTTAGGTCATTATATCTTATATATTTCATATCAAATGTTAAATATACAGTACGAATGTCTCATTTCATAAACAGCCTATAATAATCCACTGCTGGACATAGGCCTCTCCTTAGAAAGGAGGTTTTGGCCTACTATACCACGCTGGTCAGACGGGTTGGTATAGGGTTTCGGCAGACGTCGGGGGTTAGCCAGTCGACCCAGGCTGCCTCCGATATAGTTCGTGCGTCGACGTCGTCGCCCATGGAGGAGGTTGTAGAGACGATCCAGTAATGGATCAAGTCTCCAACCTGTCCAGACGAACCTGAACCACTGTGCCGCGGCGCAGGATCTCTTCCTGCAAACCATGGCACAGTGGTCGATAGGTGTTGCCGTAGTCGCGGAGCCCTATTCTGTCCCTCCCCGTCCAAACTGGATGGGTGACTGGGACGGCTCCGTGGCAGTCGTCGGTTCCACGACGGCTCATTCCCCGCCCTTGTCGCTAAGAGACAGGGGCACTGGATATGTTGCCGTCGAGTGGGGGGGGATCACCATATATGGTGTCTATTTCTCCCCCAACCGGAGTTTGAACGACTTCGAGGTTTTCCTGACCAGCTTGGAGACCTCGATACGGCGACTAGCGTCTGGGCACGTCCTTGTGCTGGGGGACTTCAACGCAAAGTCCATTGCGTGGGGTTCCCCCAGGACGGACGCCAGGGGCGAGGCCGTAGAGGAGTGGGCGGCCTCGGTGGGCCTCTGTCTTCTAAACAGAGGCTCCACCAACACGTGCGTGCGACAGCAGGGGGGGTCGATAGTGGACCTCTCGTTCGCTACCCCTGCCCTCGCCGCACGAGTAAGGAACTGGCGTGTCCTGGAAGAGGTTGAGACGCTCTCGGATCAGGTGATCCGAGAGCGTACATCCGATTTGAGCTCTCCCGGACCCAGGACTCCAGTAGGGGTCACGTGGCGCGGCGTTTATCCCGCTTTCCGCGGTGGACTGTTGCCAGGCTGAACCGGGACCTACTAGAGGAGGCAGCCATAATTCACTCGTGGCTGTCTCCTCAGGCTCCGACCGAGGAGGTCGACGTGGGGGCTGGCCGCTTTCGCGATGCGATTACGCATGTATGCGATGCGGCCATGCCCCGCGTTCGAGGTCGTCGGCCTCCAAGGAAGGAGGTCTACTGGTGGTCCCAGGAGCTACACGCGCAGTCGGCGGCGTCACCGTGGAGACGGTGAGGAGGACCGGCTTCATGAGGAGTACCGACGGGCGCGGAAAACTCTGAAGCTGGCCATTAGCCGCGCCAAAGAAGAAAAAAGACAGGAGATGCTGGAGGGTCTTAATCGTGACCCCTGGGGTCGCCCTTACCGCGCGGTGCGACAAAAGCTCCGCGCGTCGGGCCCCCCCCTTACGGAGACTCTCCAGCCCAGCTTCCTGCGAGAAGTGGTTGAGGGCCTTTTCCCACAACGGGCGGAACACACTCCCCCGTCGATGGCCTCCTTGGCCGGAGACGACGGGGAGTACGGGGAGGATAATGTTCCGCCCGTCCGGGAATCGGAGGTAGGGGCGGCTGTTCTACGGATCCGTTCCAAGAACACCGCCCCTGGGCCAGACGGGGTACCGGCCCGAGTGCTGGCCCTGGCCCTCAACCACATGGCAGACCGCCTCGGGGAGGTGTTCGACGCTAGCTTGGCGTCGGGACGCTTCCCTGAGTGCTGGAAGAGCGGGAAGCTGGTCCTATTGAGGAAGCCGGGACGGCCTGCCGATTCGGTCGCGGCCTATAGGCCCATCGTGCTGCTGGACGAGGCGGGCAAATTGTTTGAGAGGGTTCTTTCTGCCCGCATCGTCCGGCACCTCTGCGAGGTGGGCCCCGATCTGTCGGACGCCCAATTTGGTCTTCGGGCGGGGCGTTCGACGGTCGACGCCGTGTTGCGCCTGAGGGCCGTGACCGAAGAGGCCGTGAGCTGTGGCGGCGTGCTGTTGGCGGTGTCACTGGACATCGCCAACGCATTCAATAGTCTGCCATTCAGCTGCATCAGGGAAGCACTCCACTATCATGGGGTGCCAAAGTACCTGAGGCGGCTGGTGGCAGACTATTTAGAGGAGCGTACCGTCGTGTACGAGGACCGAGAAGGTAATCTGAGGTGTCGGCCCATATCGTGCGGTGTTCCACAGGGGTCTGTTCTTGGACCCCTCTTGTGGAACATAGGGTACGACTGGGCCCTTCGCGCCGATTTCCCCCCCGGGCTGGGTGTAATCTGTTACGCAGACGATACCCTCGTGACAGCCCGGGGGGCAAACTTCCAAGAGGCGGCGCGCCTGGCCACAGGGGGAGTCTCCCTGGTGGTCGGGCGCATTGAGGCGCTGGGCTTACGGGTGGCCCTAGATAAGACGGAGGCCCTGTTATTCCATGGGCCCCGTCGTGGTCCACCCCCTGGCGCCTCCATCGTGGTCAACTCGGTCCTCGTACCGGTTCGGGCCCAGATGAAATATCTGGGCCTGATCCTCGACGGGAGGTGGCTCTTCGACGAGCACTTCCGACAGCTTGCTCCAAAGCTGGTCGGCGCTGCGTCTGCCCTAGGGCGACTCTTGCCCAATATGGGTGGACCCAGCGTCGCGACAAGACGGCTGTACACGGGGGTTGTCCGGTCAATGGCACTGTACGGTGCACCGGTGTGGGCGGCGGCTCTGACCGCCCAGAATAGGGTACGCCTCTGGCGCCCTCAGAGGGTAATGGCGGTCAGAGCCATACGCGGTTACCGCACCGTTTCGACGGAGGTGGCATGCGCATTGGCCGGAACTCCCCCGTGGGATTTGGAGGCAGAAGTGCTCGCCGAAGTTTATCGGCGAGTGGCTGACTTCCGGGCGGAGAGCGGATTTCGCCCTCCGCCCGAGGATGTGCGCGAGTGGCGCGAAGCCGCTCGCCGAGCCACGATGGCTCGTTGGTCGTTCCGGCTGGAGACTCCACGCGCTGGCTTCGCCGCCGTGGAGGCTCTCCAGCCGGTCATCGCCGAGTGGGCAGGGCGGCAGCACGGGACCCTTTCCTTCCGACTGACGCAGGTGCTTTCCGGGCACGGTTGCTTCGGAAAGTACCTGCACACGGTCGCTAGGAGGGAACTGAGTCCCGCCTGCCACCACTGCGACTGCAGTGAGGACTCGACCCAGCACACGCTGGCGGTCTGCCCCGCATGGGCGGCGCAGCGCCGGGCCCTCACTGCAGTCATCGGAGTGGATCTCTCGCTACCGGCCGTAGTACGCTCCATGGCCGGTAGCGACAGTTGTTTTACCGCGGTCGCAACCTTCTGCGAGGTAGTAATCTCGCGGAAGGAGGCGGCGGAGAGGGCCCGGGAGGACGACCTCCACTCGGACCCGATCCGCCGCCGGCGAACCGGGCGGCGGAGGCCCGCCTACCACAGCCTCATGCCGCCCTGAGTGTGGCCGCGGGTGGACGGGGTGGGTTTCCCCTCCACCCGCATTAGTTGGCCAGCCGCGAGGGGGCGGCGTCCGCGTGTGCCGGACGTCGCCTAAAGAGAGGAACATCTACAATGAGACGGAGCCCGCACCAGGAGCGGGCTGGCGCTAGGAGGGGTCCGGATGTCTTAACAGCAGCTGTTCCCGGATCCCTCCTGTTACAGGCGCAGAGTGGCACACCGTGTGGTTTTAGTCGGTCCGAGTCCGACACACCACCCCGCCGCAAACCCCGGAGGGGTGACGGTCCGAGGGGATTTCCACACGTTAAAAAAAAAAAAAAAAAAAAAAAAAAAGGGTTTGTTTCAAGTTTTTCCTTCTTTTTGCAGTGCTGTTGGCCTGTGTAGTTTGTCTCATTTATTACCTTAATATGGAGAAAAAAACATTATAACGTTTAAGTTCACTCTTCCATTGGTTGTAGATAATTCCTGTTTCTTTAAATTACTAGCCAAGTTTTCTACTCCGGTCCTTTAACGTAAGAGACTCTGAAAAGTCTGCAACTATCCTGAATATAGATTTGCTATGGTTTCTCATAAAAAAAAAACGTTGTCGTAAGCTTTATTTGACGGGTCTGTTGGTCCAGTGGTTAGTGACCCTGACTGCTAGACCAGAGGTAGTGGCTTCGATTCCCACCCAGGATAAATAATTTGTTTGATGAGCACGATCATTTGTTCTGTGTCTGGGTGTAATTTATCTATAATATGTATGTATTTAGAAATATATATGTGTGTTTATCTGCAGTCTGGTTACCATGGTACAGGCCCTGCCTAGTTTGGGATCAGACTGCCGTGTGACAGATGTGTCAAGTTATTATAATATTTTATTAATATAATATTGATTCAGTATAAATATAATTGACTGCCTCAGTGGTGCAATGGTAGCGTATGCGACTGCTGTGCTGAGGTCTCGAGTTCGATGCCAGGGTCGGACCAAATGTTTGTATGATCTGCAAATATTTGCTTCGGAGTATGGGTGTTTTCTATATTGTATAATATGTATGTATTTACACAAAAAGAAATCTATCTCTCAATCTAGTTTCCTTAGTACAAGCTCTACTTAGTTTAAAACTAGATGGCGTTGTGTGTCAGGTGTCCGAAATATTATTATATTATTTTGTGTTATTCCAGGTAATAAGCAAATGTGAAGCAGATACAGACGGACTAAGGTGATGTGATACAACCATGGATCCTCAAGAATTAGTCCCTTTGGAGGGTAAGTAAACTCTTGTTTTGTTTAAAAATTGACACGGACGACATATTACGAGATTTATTCAAATGATAGAATGTCATCCATACTTCCATACTTATATTATAACTGTGGAAGTGAGTCTGTTTGTTAGCTTTCGCTCCTAAACCACTAATCTTATTAAAAAAAGATTTATTTTTAGCGAGTAATATATTATATATATATATACTAGCTGAGACCCGCGGTGTTACCCGCGTTTGTTGTTATAACCGCGGGCAACGCCGTGGGGCAAAGCTAGTCTAAAAAAAGTAGCCTAAGTTACTTCTTATGTCATCAGCTATCTACCAGTGAAAGTCCCGTCGAAATCGGTCCAGCCGTTCCAGAGATTACCCGGAACAAACAGACAGACAGACAGACAGACAGACAAAAATTCTAAAAAATGTTATTTTGGCATATGTACCGTGTAAACATACATATGCATTTACTAAAAAGCGGTTATTTTAATATTACAAACAGACACTCCAATTTTATTTATTTGTATAGATATATCAGCGAGTATTATAAGTAATCCGTGTGGTGACGGATTAAGAATACAGAGAGTCACCACCCCTATTCACCCCGCTGGTGTCGTAAAAGCCGACTAAGTGAGAAAATTACGCAGAACAAGAGGCTGCAGACAGAAGGAAAACTTGACACAAGCCCTTTTTTTTTTCTTTTTTTTTTTTTTTAACGTGTGGAATTCCCTTAGGACCGTCACCCCTCCGGGGTGTGTCGGACTCGGACCGACTAAAACCACACGGTGTGCCACTCTGCGCCTGTAACAGGAGGGATCCGGGAACAGCTGTTGTTAAGACATCCGGACCCCTCCTAGCGCCAGCCCGCTCCTGGTGCGGGCTCCGTCTCAATGGTGTTCCTCTCTTTAGGCGACGTCCGGCACACGCGGACGCCGCCCCCTCGCGGCTGGCCAAACTAATGCGGGTGGAGGGGAAACCCACCCCGTCCACCCGCGGCCACACTCAGGGCGGCATGAGGCTGTGGTAGGCGGGCCTCCGCCGCCCGGTTCGCCGGCGGCGGATCGGGTCCGAGTGGAGGTCGTCCTCCCGGGCCCTCTCCGCCGCCTCCTTCCGCGAGATTACTACCTCGCAGAAGGTTGCGACCGCGGTAAAACAACTGTCGCTACCGGCCATGGAGCGTACTACGGCCGGTAGCGAGAGATCCACTCCGATGACTGCAGTGAGGGCCCGGCGCTGCGCCGCCCATGCTGGGCAGACCGCCAGCGTGTGGTGGGCCGAGTCCTCACTGCAGTCGCAGTGGTGGCAGGCGGGACTCAGTTCCCTCCTAGCGACCGTGTGCAGGTACTTTCTGAAGCAACCGTGCCCGGAAAGCACCTGCGTCAGCCGGAAGGAAAGGGTCCCGTGCTGCCGCCCTGCCCACTCGGCGATGACCGGCTGGAGAGCCTCCACGGCGGCGAAGCCAGCGCGTGGAGTCTCCAGCCGGAACGACCAACGAGCCATCGTGGCTCGGCGAGCGGCTTCGCGCCACTCGCGCACATCCTCGGGCGGAGGGCGAAATCCGCTCTCCGCCCGGGAGTCTGCCACTCGCCGATAAACTTCGGCGAGCACTTCCGCCTCCAAATCCCACGGGGGAGTTCCGGCCAATGCGCATGCCGCCTCCGTAGAAACGGTGCGGTAACCGCGTATGGCTCTGACCGCCATTACCCTCTGAGGGCGCCAGAGGCGTACCCTATTCTGGGCGGTCAGAGCCGCCGCCCACACCGGTGCACCGTACAGCGCCATTGACCGGACAACCCCCGTGTACAGCCGTCTTGTCGCGACGCTGGGTCCACCCATATTGGGCAATAGTCGCCCTAGGGCAGACGCAGCGCCGACCAGCTTTGGAGCAAGCTGTCGGAAGTGCTCGTCGAAGAGCCACCTCCCGTCGAGGATCAGGCCCAGATATTTCATCTGGGCCCGAACCGGTACGAGGACCGAGTTGACCACGATTGAGGCGCCAGGGGGTGGACCACGACGGGGCCCATGGAATAACAGGGCCTCCGTCTTATCTAGGGCCACCCGTAAGCCCAGCGCCTCAATGCGCCCGACCACCAGGGAGACTCCCCCTGTGGCCAGGCGCGCCGCCTCTTGGAAGTTTGCCCCCCGGGCTGTCACGAGGGTATCGTCTGCGTAACAGATTACACCCAGCCCGGGGGGGAAATCGGCGCGAAGGGCCCAGTCGTACCCTATGTTCCACAAGAGGGGTCCAAGAACAGACCCCTGTGGAACACCGCACGACATGGGCCGACACCTCAGATTACCTTCTCGGTCCTCGTACACGACGGTACGCTCCTCTAAATAGTCTGCCACCAGCCGCCTCAGGTACTTTGGCACCCCATGATAGTGGAGTGCTTCCCTGATGCAGCTGAATGGCAGACTATTGAATGCGTTGGCGATGTCTAATGACACCGCCAACAGCACGCCGCCACAGCTCACGGCCTCTTCGGTCACGGCCCTCAGGCGCAACACGGCGTCGACTGTCGAACGCCCCGCCCGAAAACCAAATTGGGCGTCCGACAGATCGGGGCCCACCTCGCAGAGGTGCCGGACGATGCGGGCAGAAAGAACCCTCTCAAACAATTTGCCCGCCTCGTCCAGCAGCACGATGGGCCTATAGGCCGCGACCGAATCGGCAGGCCGTCCCGGCTTCCTCAATAGGACCAGCTTCCCGCTCTTCCAGCACTCAGGGAAGCGTCCCGACGCCAAGCTAGCGTCGAACACCTCCCCGAGGCGGTCTGCCATGTGGTTGAGGGCCAGGGCCAGCACTCGGGCCGGTACCCCGTCTGGCCCAGGGGCGGTGTTCTTGGAACGGATCCGTAGAACAGCCGCCCCTACCTCCGAATCCCGGACGGGCGGAACATTGTCCTCCCCGTGCTCCCCGTCGTCTCCGGCCAGGGAGGCCATCGACGGGGGAGTGTGTTCCGCTCGTTGTGGGAAAAGGCCCTCAACCACTTCTCGCAGGAAGCTGGGCTGGAGAGTCTCCGTAAGGGGGGGGCCCGACGCGCGGAGCTTTTGTCGCACCGCGCGGTAAGGGCGACCCCAGGGGTCACGATTAAGACCCTCCAGCATCTCCTGTCTCTTTTCCTCTTTGGCGCGGCTAATGGCCAGCTTCAGAGTTTTCCGAGCCCGTCGGTACTCCTCATGAAGCCGGTCCTCCTCACCGTCTCCACGGTGACGCCGCCGACTGCGTGTGTAGGACCTCCGGGCACGTGTACAGGCCGCACGGAGGTCCGCCAGCTCCTGGGACCACCAGTAGACCTCCTTCCTTGGAGGCCGACGACCTCGAACGCGGGGCATGGCCGCATCGCATACATGCGTAATCGCATCGCGAAAGCGGCCAGCCCCCACGTCGACCTCCTCGGTCGGAGCCTGAGGAGACAGCCACGAGTGAATTATGGCTGCCTCCTCTAGTAGGTCCCGGTTCAGCCTGGCAACAGCCCACCGCGGAAAGCGGGATAAACGCGACCCCTACTGGAGTCCTGGGTCCGGGAGAGCTCAAATCGGATATACAGGTGATCCGAGAGCGTCTCAACCTCTTCCAGGACACGCCAGTTCCTTACTCGTGCGGCGAGGGCAGGGGTAGCGAACGAGAGGTCCACTATCGACCCCCCCTGCTGTCGCACGCACGTGTTGGTGGAGCCTCTGTTTAGAAGACAGAGGCCCACCGAGGCCGCCCACTCCTCTACGGCCTCGCCCCTGGCGTCCGTCCTGGGAGAACCACTGACCCACACGGCGCCAAGCCCTCCTGGACCGGGGCGGATGGTGCCGACCCTGACGTTGTCCGCGCTGCACCCCGTCTTCTCCCGGATTACAGCGCGGACATCTTCGGCCGTCACTGAGTCGTCCAGGCCCGAGATGCGCAGTTCCGCGCACTTGGTAGGCCTGGCGACCCTGACACCATCTGTGGCTGCAAATATTCCCCGCAGCTTCTCAGCGAAGGAGTCCGCCGTCTTTGCGCCTTCAGCCCCAGGGAACTCGAGAACTCGAGCTCCCGTCTGGGCGAGGCGCATCCTGACCCCCACCGTCCCAAACTCGTTGGCGAGGCTGTCCCGGGCCTTTTTGAAGACGGCCGCATAGGACAGCCCGCCGTCAGCCGCCTCCGGGGACACGGTCACAACTACAGCCGCGGTTTTGGGCGGCTGCAGCTTCCGCGGCCTCTTTGCAGAGGCCGTTGCCACCGGTGGCGAAGGCTGGGCTTGGGCTGCTTTTTGGGCAGCCTTTCTGGCCCGCCTTCGGGACTTCTTGGAGCCCCTCGCCTCCTGCCAACCCTCGTTGGAGGGGGCAGGTGCGGAGGGGCCCGGCAGGGGTGTCGGAGTGGGGAGCGGAGGGAATGCCACTCCGCTCCTCGGCGCCGTTTTAGGCCCCGTCTTGGCCGGCGCCTGGGGATGTGCCTTGGCCGGCGCCTTAGCCGGTGCCTTGGCCGGCGCCTGGGCCGGTGCCTTGGCCCCCCTCCTCGTCGGCTTTTGTGGAGCCGATGGAGTAGGGGCAGACGCCGCCGCCGCGTAAGAAACGCGGCCTCCCACAACGGGGAGCGCGGTCGGAGCGGCGGCCTTAGGCCGCTGTGCCGACGCGAGCGGGGGGCGCATAATCGGCGCAGGAGGCAATCTCGCCTCCAGGCCAGCCAGGCGTCCGTCCAGCATATTCCCAACTGCGATGAGGATTTCTCGCAGTTGGGAGTCAAATGCCCCTGAGTTGGTGGTAGGGGCAGGCTGGGACGCGGACGGGGCTTCCCGCTCGGGGAGGTTCGCCTGGAAGCGGGCGAACTGAGCGCTCAGCTCGTTCACCCGCTCCGTCAGCTTCTCGTTGGCCACCTGCAGGCGAGAGACGTCGCCCGCTAGGCCCTCCACGACCTCCGACAAAGCGGAGGAGGAGTCCTTAAGGGCCCTCACAAACGAGCCCTTAAGGTTCACGGATTTGGTGGCCACCTTGTCGATGACGGCCACCGCCGCTTTCGCCCTCTCCTGCACGGACACGGGAGCCTGGGGGGCATTTCCCCCCACCGGCTCCCGAACCTTGAGCAGGAGATCCGCGATCTCCTCCTCCGCTACGGCCTCTCCGTCCACTCGTACGCTCCTGTAGGACTCCGCGTTTGAGAACGCGGAGCCTGACGGGGTCGAGACCGGGGCCGTTTTGCGTGCCCTCCCTCGGCGGCTGCTTGCCACCTTTGGTGGCATCATTTCGCCGGACGTGTCGGTTTCCACGTCCCCTCCGCGCCATCCGACGAAGCGGCGGATCCGGAACGCAGCCGATCTGATGCTCTTCGGCTCCCAGAGACCAGCGTCAGACTGACTTCTGGGAGCCCCATCGAGATAGGCGTTCCTGACACCATCTCACCCTCAGTGGACGACCAATCCGCTCCACTATTCCTCTTCACCTTTGCACCCTTCGTTTCAGAGTCCGTTTTGCTTGCCTGTTTTCGTTGTGTTTGTCCGATCGTTTTTTTTAGGTTTTTGTTTACAGTTTCCATAGTAAATCCCACGAGTGGGGGAGAACTAAAGGTCCACCCGGGCAGAGATCCCCCATTACCCGGGCAAGCGTAAGTTTTTAACCCAACCGAGGGGTCCGCAGGTACCTCGGCTTGGAGTGCGCTCGCGCCTGAACTTCCCATCAGCCATGCATCCCCTGGCCACGCACCAGAACACGGGATTCGGGGAATTTTTTAGAGAGGTTATCTTCCTCGCGGTCCGGGCGGTTAAGCCAAGACCCTCGCCCCCGATCAGAGCCGCGAGACTTAACCACAGCGCTCTTATCGGGATTACGATATGCCGACGGTTGACAGGGAGACTACGTCCCCCTGCCTGCTCGGTGGTAGTGTGAGTACACGCCGAGCCCGTCCTCCTTTCTCCACCGCTGTCAGCGGAGAAACTGTGGCCCCTACAGGGCCCCGCCATCAGGTTTTTTACCGAGGTTTCCTCCTCCATGCTCCGAAGAGCGAAGAGCCAGCAGGGCAACCGGCAGACACGCCCACCCTGCTGGACCAGGCCTTGCCCGAGAGCCGATGAACGGCTGCCTCTTCTGCTAGAATATTGGCCGCTGGCGATAATCCTCTCCTCCAAGAGGACAAGGAGGAAACAGTACCATCGCCAGCGTTTCCAGGGTGCACCACGAGGAGGTTTTCTAGCCCAGCACCCCACAAGCCCTATACCAACCCATCTGGCCAGCTTGGTATGTAAGTAGGCCAAAACCTCCTTTCTAAGGAGAGGCCTATGTCCAGCAGTGGCTGTGGCTAAAGCTGTTGATGATGATGATGAGTAATATAGGCTAGTATGTATAATGTTGTTTTTCCCATGAACCAAACAAAATACGTTTTCGATAAATCTAAATGTAATTAAACATAATCTAAATAAAAATGTGAAGTTGGTTTATATACGCTTCAAAAACTCGAAAAGTTCTGCACCAATTCAGCTCAAGTTTTGCATGACAAATAACCCGCTTTAAAGATTGTTTTTATCCACATTTCGCGTCACTTTTGCTTCTCATTTCTCATTAATGCAATCACAATGTGCCACAGCGAACCATGGCAAGGTACAGCTAGTATTTAATAGATCTGAATACGACTTTGTTTCATTTATAATTACTCATTACATTACTCAACTAATCACCATAAAATTTTATGCATGCATATTGTCAGGGGTTCAGAAGAGGACATAAGTTACCTTTTTGGTGACGTGGTGGAAAATGGGGATATAGAAGCCAGGAGTATGTGGTGTTTTCACTAAACACCACCCCGACGGCCAGCCTTAGGCGCCCCGCTCTAGGAGGAACCCAGAGTCCCTTTATGTTCCCCATGAAGGTGCTTTGCCTGTTATTCCCTAGGGCATAGTGAAGCCGCGGGCATGAGCCATAAAAATATTTTTGTACAGCTTAATTTGATAACTATTTAATCGTTTTTGTTTCAATATACTCGTAGCATGTTCTATAAACCTTATTAAATATGGTGTATTTTTTAATTAAACCTTTTGCGTTTTTATACGTTTTTATCATTTTTATCTTCTTTCACAGCTGGCGAACCCCGACCTCCACGGCCCTCAGTCGCCCCTCGCAACTGCTATCTCGCCCCACGGTCCTGCTACAGAGTGCCACTTAAATTATGTCGTCTGCTGGCCATGTTGATCATATTACCCTGCCTATTTATATTTATACCTTTATATTTAAGGTGAGTACACAGTTTATCGATTTTTAACAACTTATTTTGCAGTAAGAGTAATGATGAACAAATAAACAACGAATACAAAGAAAACCCAAACTTGGAAACCTGATTGAGGGTCATACAAATTCATACAAAACTATTTTAAATAGTCTTTCATGCATGCATATTTCTTTCTTTTTTATCGTATTTAATTTTTAGATTACACCTGATTCCCCAGCTACTGGTACCCGAAAGGGCGTGCGGTTTTAGTCGGTTCGAGTCCGACATACCCTCGGGATGTTGTGGAAGAGTTTAGGTTCTTGCAATCTCTTATTTACTCAGTGAACCGAAACGAAAGATTTACTTAACCCCGGTTTTTTGTAAAGCCCAGGTATAAACTCCGGTCGAACCGGCCCATATATACTGAAACATAGCTCTACTTCGGTAAATATTTCTAAATACACAGCTTTCTTGTATCAATTTCTACTAAACAATAATCTGCGCACTTCTCTTATCTGTCAGTTAACTGTATCTGGGGATGTGTGAAGTGGTACCTATCTGTTTTACTACTTCAATTAAAGTACTGGTCGATAAACTGTTGAATTGTTTTATTACATACTAACTGGAACCCGCGACTTCGTTGAGTCCGCTGCCTTAGAGGGTTCGATGCCCGGACCGGGCAAGATACCGAGATAAAATAGCCTAAGTTTTTACTTATGTAGACAGCTACCTGGTAGTAAGTATTATCGAAATCGATCCAGCCGTTTAGAAGATTCCCCGGTACAGACAGACAGACAAACAGACGAAAAATAAATAAACTGGTTTTTAGGCATAGGTATCATGCAAATAACCGTTTGAGCATGAAAAAAACCTATAATTTTGACATAACAAATGGACACTGCAATGTTATTTATTTGAATAGATTTATTATCTAATAGCTTTCTTTCATCTGTTTCTACTTATAACTGTAATATACTGTTGTTAAGCATTTGTCCTATGTCCAACAGCGGACTGCGATAGGCTGATGCTGATGATGATGATGAAGCATTTGCCCTTTCATAAAAGGAATTTTCACCATAATCATCATCAACAGCCTCTTTAGTAGTCCACTGGCTGGACATAGGCATATGGCCTCATAACATTTGTGTGCATGAACATTTAATGTTTGATTTTGTCTGGGTGTTTCTATGTATGATGTATTTTTTTCTTTTTTTTATATAAAAAGACAACTCCCTTATTAGGAATATATCCTGTGTCGCGGGGGACTTTAAACATACATGAAACGGACACAAAGAACACCCAGACTCAGAACAACAATTTGTGGATCACACAAAGTGTCGTCCATCCATGTGGGGTTTGAACCCACAACACTTGGCATGCTAGGAAGCGGCGTGGCGACCGCTTAAATAACTACGCCATGCGTGCAGTCAGTATGTATAAGTAAAGTATATATGTATTTATATCTGTTGTCTAGTACCCGTAGTACAAGCTTTGCTTAGTTTGCGTCTAGATGGCGTTGTGTAAATTTGGTAGAATATATTATTATTATTACTCACGTCTAGATTAACAGGCCAGTCTGTACTACGTTGTAAGCAGTCTGTATGCTAAGTTTAAGAAAAATCCGTTTAGCAGTTACACCGTGATTGGCTAATAAATATCATCACTATTATTAGCAAGTCACGGTTATTTGCATTCAATTTATAGATAATCTTAGCAGTTACTCATAGATTTGGCCACGTTTCTGATCCTGAAATGAGAAAAAGGAAAGAATTTTGAGAAAGAAAATTTGTAAAATAAAATATAGTAACTAGTAAATATAATATAAAATTAAGATATTATAAAACAAAAAGTATAAATCCTTGGGATAAATGATTTAATAAACCTTGTCAGTTGTAATTTGATTCAGTAGACAAAGAGATATTAAAAAATCATTCATCATCTTCTGACCCGCTTTCCAAATTTATGTTCTTCAATCCTCTCCCATTCATCAGATCATTTCTTACTTTCTAGCTATATCTACTTTCACGCAGGTCATTTATCTACTCTTATATTGGTCCACTTTCATACATGAAACTTTTTTCAGTATGTTTTACTCATCTCTACGCCACATATCTATACCAGGATAACCCGTATAACAACCCTGCATAACAGGATGATCCTCAACTTTTCATCTACCGCCTGTACTTAAATAATTATCTTAAAACATATAAAGTTAAAAAGTTGAAAAGCATACGAGTATAATTAAATTATATGTATTTGTGGCACGCGGAAAATACAAATCCATAAAACAACACTCCTAAAAATTATCTTTGTTGTATCTGCTTAATACGACCACATCATCTATATAAAAGTAGATTAACTATAGTATAATATAATAAAATAATATATTTTATGCATATATTGCTCAGGAATGGAAAATATTTTACGCATTACTTATGTGAATATCATAGATATAATATTCGAAAGCTTGCAAATTACGTATTTTGTCTCGATTGGGATGAATTTGGATCTGTAAAAGCATTTTATAAAAATCCAGCAGTAAATCTCTTGATATGACTTCGTAATAGATTGTGAAGGTCGATAAAAATTAGGAAAATACTGTATCAGCAATACTCGGTGAATTTTCTGTGTGTACTAAAGTACGTGATAATAATAATAAGTCACAATTAAAACCTCGTAAATACGAGCAGCAGACGCGAAAAACCAATGGTTTGGCACACAATATATGGGCTAGCTCAATTGGAGTAATGCCACTACCTAAGCAATTCTTTCGTTGCATTTCGTGAGTGAGGTGACAAGCGTGTGAGTGTAAGTCCGATTACCGAACGCGGTCAGCGTGACAATCAAGGAGATGTGAAATAAATTTGCACTAAGCCCTCAGAAGTACAACAAACCAACTAACCCTAATTCTTATTCATCATCATCATCATCAATAGCCTTTACTAGCCCACTACTAGACATAGGCCTCTCCTCAGAAAGGAGGTTTCTTTAATTCTTAGTAGTTGTGTAGTATTGCCGCTATTCAGGCCAGTTTCTTGTATATTTAAAAAGTCTCCGACCACTATAAGTCGTCTCAGGTGAAATATGAATGACAAATAAAAAGTATGTTGTAATTCTGTAAATGTATATTTTCTTCAGAGATGTGCCATTTACCGGGGATTCTTGTTGTCCCAGACATACTGATAAAGTATTGTGAATTGAGGCTGAATAATTTGTTTACAGTTACAGTACAGTACATCAAACCAGTGCGCTACAATCAAAAGATATTAATCTTTTAATTGCAGCGCACCGGTTTGATGTACTAATACACGTGTAATTACTTCAATCTTAGTGACTGATGTATTTACTGTATTTTCTCTACACCCAAATATTATAAACTAATTATTGTGTAATGAAATTAACAGTTTATCTCAAAAGTCTGCTAACCATGATATATTCATTATATTCATTAAACATTTTTGACTGTTTTCTTTTATGACTGGCGTCAAGAGATGAAATGGAATCGGGGTAAGGAAAACAAATTTATCGTGAGAACTTGAGAAAGGTATACTGCATGTATTAGATGGGGAAATTGGTCTGTGACTGCAAGAGGTCGAAGGAGTTAGGGTCGTTGACTCGTATTTTCCTGTATTAGTTCTGTGATTTGTGACGCTACTATGTCAGAGACATGTAGTGACTTTGTACCTGACTTCCAAGGAGGGGTGGTGGTGGTTTTTGTATATTTCTTTATTACCGCGTATCTTTCAAATGGCTGGATGGATTTGTACAGTTAAAGTGTTGTTTTATCCGTTTCAAAAACCTAAGTGTCTTTAGATGGTTTATTGAAAGAAAAAACAAAATTATAGATTTTTGGCACAAAATAGAAACAAGTTAATAAAAAAATTAACTAAACCTGTCGAGTAGGAAAGAAAGAAGAAAGAAAGATATTAAAATCATTACAATTAAGAGGGTATTATTAATTTATGAGTTATCTATTTAAATTAAATAAGGATTAACAAATTGGTTTTCAAAGTTTTTTATAGCGTAAAAATTGGTCATATTTGTGTCGGACCATATTTGTGTATGCTGTTTCGGTCTTTTTAGTACATTACTTTTAAATTGAATTGATTACTTGTTATTCACACTATTGGTTACTCCTTAAGAATCGATTTTCATATAAAGAGCCCGGTATGGATAACTATAAAGAGTAAAATGTAGTGATCGAATAACCTTGCTACGAATTTTGTGCGCATTCTATCTAAGTATACAAGTTATACACATGTGTGTGTATAACTTGTATACTTGTGTGCAGCCGAATCGTTCTTAAGGAGTAAACTTCAGTCGTGCGTCGGAGCTGAAACACACTTTGTTTTAAAAAAAAAGTTAAAATTAAGGACTGATGAATTGTTCCAGATACCGCGTGTTCTCCGGCCAGATGTACCCAATGAGCATGACGGACATGAGACTGATAGATAGTAAGATTTCCACCACTTGGTGTCAGGTAGGTGTGTAACATGTTTGATGATAGTTTGATTTAAAATGTGGGTACTCTTCCCAACTAACGACACCAAATCGAGTGTAATAAATAGTAAAAAACAGCTTCCTTAGTTAGACATTTTGAAAGTTCGAAATACCTCGTATATGCCTTTTCTTTTTTACGTGTGGAAACCCCCTGGGGCCGTCACCCCACCGGGGCTTACGGCGGGGTGGTGTGTCGGAATCGGACCGACTAAAACCACACGGTGTGCCACTCTGCGCCTGTAATAGGAGGGATCCGGGAACTGCTGTTATTAAGACATCCGGGCACCACCTTCTGGATGTACTCGTATATGCCTAACTCAAGTATTAATGAGGGTCTTCGATACTTTTCTGCCCCCAGACGGCGCTTCGTATGCGTCAGGTCCAAACAGCTGTCAGATAGCACAGATTCTTACCGAACGTATAATAATTTTTAGTGAAATTCTATGAATTTGGAAGTGTTATTGAGTTTATTACGGCCAGAGAAAGGTTGCCGAACTGAAGATTGAGCTCAAAAAGAGAGGCGCAAAAGTTTTATTTGCACACATAGGCACAGCACAACACTGTGGCATTTTAGAAATCAGTATTCCTTTTGTAAAGTTTTTAACGAATGAATAAAAAAAAAAAATGATCGAAAAGTACAAATCGTTTATGTCTTTTGATAGGTGGTAGGACCTGACGCTACAGTGCTGCCATCTCACGTGGAACATTTCAGAAAACCCTCATTATAGCAGACTAGCATAATGTTAAAAAACATTTTGATGAAGTTCACAAAAACAGAGAATCTACAACGTTGACTTTATCGCATGTTTTTATATTATAAGCAATAATATGTGAACTGTTAACCCTGTACAACCGATTCAAACCGGATTTTACACATATACAAGAGAGACAACACATATTGCTGTCTCTCTTCGTCAAATATTTACATACAAATCACATTTCATGATTTGTTTTAATCGAGGTAATAATTAATAGTGCAGAGAATTTGGTCCGGACCCTTGGTTTAGATACACACACACACACACTATTCTTTCGTTTCGTGTTATATGTGTTCGTTGGTTGTAAAAAAACCATAATAATGGCTATCAATGCAATTGATATTGCTGTGTTATGACCGAGCTATTTCATAAGTTTATTATTTTATCGGATAATTTCTTTATTCCCGCCAATAAGACAAAACTATTGATATAAACATGATAAACTGTGTGTTTATCGGTCGTGACATATTTATTATGTGAAGTAACTTGTCAGAGAAGATAGCACCTTATTTTTAAACAATTAGGATATATTTTCCAATAAACTGTGTCACTCCAAGAATATAGGGTGAAAACTTTTTTAACTATGCATTAAAAAAAACGAATAAGCCCTCTAGTAGTATAGTGGTCTATGTTACTCACTGATAATGTAACTTTCCATTAGTGCAAGAATTTTTTGAATCGGTTTAGTAGTTTAGGCGTGAAAGCGTAACTAACAAACAAACAAAGTCACGTTCACTTTAAAATGTACTAGCTTTTGCCGCGGCTCTGCCCGTGTGAAGGTCGGTTATGAGGTCAAAAGTAGCCTATGTTACTAGCTGAAAATGTCTCACCTACCATCTGACAGCGAACTATAACGCGCGCTCATTGGTCAAATCAAATTACGCGCGCTTTCTCGGCTTCCTGTTACACCATCCCGTCCCTTTTCGGGAAACTACTACTTTAGAAAAAAAGAGTTTCCTTTAGTAATAGAGTTAGTAGACTACCGATATGTATTCGTATTTATATCTTATAGAAAAAGAAAGTTCGTATAATATTATTTACACCTATATCCTTATATTTTCTTATCTGAGATGGCACAGGCTTACACATCTGGTTTATTGAACGCCCTTCTGATATCGAAACTCGTGATGATTAATTAGCAGGGGACATGCTGCGCCTCTTCCTAAAATTGCGAAACACGAGCCATCGCTGCATGGTACTTTTTCTTGTTTGCTATTCTTGTGTGACAATGGATATAAGAATTGAATATGTTATTATTCTTGTTGTTTCATCCCCTTTTTTTCTGTGTGGAACCCCCCCGGATACCACCCACCAGTAGGTGATTATATCGGACTCGAACCGACCAAAAACCGCACGCCGTCTCCAGGTACCAATAGCAGAGGAACCAGGTATACCCTAGAAAGGAAAGCCCTGGTACCCCGACGTACCTCGGGCCATCTACGGCTTATAGATGACCCCTCCTGTGTGCGCGCTCCGTAGCGCGTAACGCCTCCACCCACCCTGGTCTGCTATGTGTCCCCTCCCCTGGTATCAAACAAAAATGACGAAAGGAAACATGTCAAATTTGTATTACTTACCTAATGTGCAGAAAGCTAAACAAAACAATATGTTCTAAAAACAAAACTGCAGAGGTCCTGTATAAATGTTAACCTGACATGGTACAAAAAACTATACACTGAAAGCTCTAATGCTACACTGACAATGAAATGCAATAAGAAATTAAAACGCAATTCGACCGTAGATAATCATGCGTAAGAAACCTTTTTTTTTGACGGGGTCTAAAATCCCTTCGGATCTCCTGCTCCTCGGGGCTAGGAGCTAGGAGTATGTGGTGGTTCCACTAAAAACCACCCCGACGGCCGGCCTCAGGTGCCCTACTCTGGGAGGACCTGGACCATGTTATTTCAGGTCCTCCCCGAATTGACACCATGCCTAGTCAGGCCCTATCACAGGGGAAAATCACTTCCCCCCTCAGTCGCGACGTGGCGGCCCCATTTCGTCTTAAGGCAATCAGGCCGCCATCCTATCTCTTACCGCAGCATTCAATCTGCCACCAGAGGTCCCCTCTCTGGCGGTCCGCGGCATGCGTAAGAAACCAGCTGAAATTCTACTACAAATTTACTAATCACCTTTCTATATTTTCAGCGGCAAGTAGTACGATCTAATGCCACCTTCAACGCATTTGTGGTCCCTGGCCCTCCAGAAATGAGTGACGAATTGGTGCCAGTATCAATGACGAGGCAATTGGAGCTAGGAGATGATATGAAGGAGTACTGGGGTTTCTACTTATTAAAAGGATCATCGGTGACGGTGTCTACGTGTGTCAGGTAGGATCCAGTTGACCAACTTTGGGAATTAAGTATAGGAAAATTGAACGTTTATCTAAAGAGAAATTTAGATAAGCAGGGAAGCAAACTTGAACCGGGTTTAAACTTAACATAGGAACAAAACTGAGATAAAACTTCTGAATTCTGATCAAATACTTTCACACAGACATCCAGGTGCATCTCTTATCATGATTAAAGGGTACAAACACCTGCAAGACTGTGCCTACATCGGTGATGACTCTTCAGAAGAAATTGATGAGCTATGGGAGGCGTACAGTTTAGGTTTGATGACGAACAGCACACTGTTCGAGAAGATACAAAACTTAAGAAAAGATGATGGAAAAGCGAATGATCCTGGTAAGAATTGATTTGATAAATAACTAGCTTCTTCGTCTTCGTCCGCGTGGAATAGTTACTTTGGGCTAACGCTAACTTTAACCCGCGACTTGGTTTACGTAGAAGGTGAAAATAATTTTAAATAATACGTACGTTCAGTATTATTACGGAGCTATTTCCGTTAACGCAACGCACGCAGCGGAAAAAACCCTCGATTTTGAAACATTCTTCATTGGTGCTTCTTCGTTCTATTGGTCTTAGCGTGATGATATGATATATATAAGGGTACAAACATCTATACCTATAACGTATAGCATTTCTCGATAAATGGGCTATCTAGCACTGAAAGAATTTTTTAAATCGGACCAGTAGTTCCTGAGATTAATGCGTTCAAGCAAACAAACGAACAAACTCTTCAGCTTTATAATTTTAGTATAGATACATTTATATTATAGTAGGCTGGCCTGTTTGTCGTGGGTCCGATTCCCACCCAGGACAATTAATCGTGGGATGAGCACGATTATTTCTTCTGGATTTATAATGTGCTGTTGTTGTTGTATTTAGAAATATATGATGCTGGCACTGCCTAGGAGGGCTTGTTAGCGTGTGAACGGTTGGACGGAACCAGGTTTTGCACAGCACTTTTTTTAATAAAATTAATAAAAAACATAAAAAAATACTGTGAACGAAATGAATGTTCTCAACTGACTGTTTTTGTAGCTATATTCATAACTATGATTAATATTATTATGAGTAACAAAATCGATATTTTGCTTTTCTTCAAACCACTTTAGACTCTATAATGTTAAGCAGTGAATTAAATATCTCAATTTCTGTAGAAAATAGTTGAAATACATTCGACTACATTAGAGATGATGACACGGGAAAGTAGAATGAAGGCCGCAATAATTTAATAGATGAAACTTTAATATTAATTTTAAAAGTATTGTTGTCAGGGGCGATGCGGCGACACAAAGCTGGTGTGAGTTTTCATGATCCAAAAAAAGCAACAAATACGTCATCACTAGATGAAAAAGTCAATACCGTAGCTGATACTGACGCAGATCATGATCCAAAAGTAAGTAACAAGATCCTTATTGAACTTAAAAAAACATTATCTGGATTAGCTAATACAACTAAAACTATTCAAAAACTGAGCATAACCATAGATCGTTATTTTCCGGACACTGTCAGGGTTAATAGTGAAATCTACAAAAGTATCTGCCATTTTATAGAAAGAGACAAAAATTAAGACAACAATACAACGCACAGCCTAATGTAGCTGACACAATTCTGTTGCAGACGGCGTACTCGGACATTGCTAATGGCAGTTCTGAGGTGACTAGTTAAAAATTATTTATCACTTGTTCAGCCAATATTTTCACGTAGTTTTGCCTATTTAGCTCACGATGCAGAAATCCATTTTTTTTTTGAAGCAGCGTCAAATTTATCTACAGAATCTTTATGCTTTAAGCTTGAAATAGATATATATATATGTATTTTATTTTGTAATCTTGCAAGTCATTGTCAACCATTTATGATATTAGAAATGTTTGAGAAATATAAAACGCAAACTATGACAGAAAGCTTATTACTCAATTGTGGATTACATAGAAGGCAAGAATGCTTGGTATTAACTTAGCACAGGCTATTTAGTAGTGAAAATGTGATGTGAGCTAGCGTGTCTATTATTTAATTCTCGCTTTTTTTTATCTTTTACTTCACTCTCTTTTTAATTCCATCTTTTTCTATATCTTGTTTTCTCTTGCCTTTTTACCGTTTAGTCCTTAAAATTACATACTGGCACACATCAAAACAATGTTGTGTATTTTTAATGATGTCATTGTTATCTGTTGATTGAAAAGAGTGCCCATGAGTTTGTTTGCAATTTCTTCTCATGAGGTTCAACCCCTTGGAAATGGGCGGTTGTAGATCGCCACAGGCATATAAGAGATTTTCGATACGTATATGTTTAGTTTTGCTAAATATTTGACAAAACTGAGATTATTGCTATTGTATGTGTTGTTCTATGACTTTAGAGTCTACAAGAGAGACGATTTCAAATAAATTTGAAAAATTTCATGAAATAAAGATATTGAGTTTGAGTTTGAGAATTAAACATTGATTTAGTTCGAAATTCCGTGCATTCGAAAATTCTTTGTTCTCCCTTTGTAACTCTAACTCTTTCACACACTCCCACTCTATTTGCGGACTATACTATAAACTATGCTAAAAGAAAAGCAGGTGCAGCTTTTCTTTAGCATTTTTCTCCTTTAACATAATTTATAGTAAATCCAATTCTTTACCATACTCCTTTCCCAAATTCATTTGCTGGCGGCACAATGCGTTTGCTTCTTCTATTCTCCTCTGTCACTCCACAGATTACTGCTTACTCGCTTTCTAGCGATATTCTCTTTCACGCAGTCTTTCATTTCATTTCAATTTTTTTGGCTTTTATCTCTTAAGACCGGCCATCTGCCTGACGCCAACCCTCCCTTAAGAATGTGATCGGTCTTCGTACATATACGAGTGTGAAGCATGAAGTGAAATGCTGTTAACCACGTGTTCAGGTCAAGTATTTGTAGTTACTAATGGAATTTCAATGCAGCACTTATGACACTAAGTAGCAAGGCTTAAAATTTCACATATTAGAAATAATTTTCTTCAGAAACAACACAAAAAAATTTGCAGAATAAGAGGTTTTGTTTACATTTTGCGTCGAAGTTACATCTTATTTTCATTAGATTCTTATATAAGGCTAATTACTAAAGCTTACATAGTATATGACTATTTTAACATGTGCCAGATTGAATAGAAAAAAGTAAAATCAAAATATTAGAAATTCTTTTGCAATCGGCCTAAACTAGGTGTGTGTCCTGTGTTTCAGGCAGTCGCTTGACTATGATGTTAGATACAAGGACGTTAAATATTTTAAAGTTCTAATAGATTTCTGACAGTTCCTCACATCCAGTATATTTATTGCATAATGCAATCTGATAATGAATAGTAAATTAAGTGTCATAGGTATTTTAGAAAACACACATAGGTATATTATATTATATCTATTTCCATTTTCATTAGTATTTTATCCTATTTATGATGCAGGAACTCCGAGCGATTTTAGAACGCCTGCACGCTCTCCGCGAGGCAGCTAAAAATCAGCATTTCAAGAACTATCATCTGCCATCAAATATTATTGCGGTACCAGCTCTTCATAGACATAGGGACACCAATGTGAACATAGATCAGAGAAAATGGCTATCTTTTCAAGGTACTGTATAGATATCTCCGTGATATTTTTGGATTTATTTAAATCATCAACCGCATTTAAAAGTCCACTGTTAGATATACCCTCTCCTTAAAATTGAGGTTTTAGCCTACTATACCACGCTGGCCAGACGGGTTGGTATAGGGTGTGTTTCAAATTTTCCTTCTCTGCAGTGCTCTATAGTTTGCGTGGTGGTGACATTCCGTATCCTTAATTCTTCAGATTTAATTTAATAGAATCATCTAACAATTAAGTACAAATAATACCTATTACATATATTTCCATATACATACATAATTATACTAAACAACCAATCAAAACAAAACAAACCAAAGTGCTTTATCGACGTTCCTGTATTTTCCCATAGCAACTAATATTTTCGTTCATATAGCAACGTGTTGTAAATTCTTTTATCAAAATAGATTGTAAATAATAGACGGTAATCAAATCCTGTCTTTTTGCGAAAAGCACTTTTATAACGTTTCACTTACTTGTTTTATTATTCTCTGATAAAATTCTTACGTAGATTAGCTAAGTCTTATTAGCTTTATACCAGAGTTTATTGTTGCATATTTTTAACTATAAAGATTTTTGATCAGATCCTTCACAGTAATACCTATATATATATATATATATATATATATATATATATATATATATATATATATATATATATATATATATATATATATATATATATTATATTTTATATACATAAATTATATTACATTACACTACAGTATATTGCATTGCATATTTATAAAAACTTACATGCAATATAATTAAATATTTTTCCGAATTTTAGACATTGATGGCAATAAAAGTGAAATAAAAGACGCAGTTAAATTCATCAAAGACGTTACAACAACCATTAGGACTACAGTCATTCAAAAAGAAGAAGACGAGAGAAAAACTAAAGATTTTAAAGAAGAATTTAAACATAGCACAGACAAAGCAAAGGAACCAAAGTCTACTGAAGCTGAAAAAGTAAATGAAACTAAATCTATTGAAGATGAGAAACCTACTGAATCTCTTAACGGTGGTGTTAAAGAGGAGATTGAATTAGAAGAAGTCACAACAAAATACACAACAAAGGTAAGCTATTTGACTACACATATATGAGCTTTAATATGTACTTAATTTTTGCATGTAGCATTAAAAAGGTTTTGATTGTTTTGTATTATGGTAGGCCGCCAAGCCGACTTTAACCTTTCTTAGAAATTTACTCATTTGCCGACAGGACAAAGGGGGGTAAAATTTAGATAAAAAAAAACGGTTACGGCGAGGTACTTAAAATTGATAAAACAGTGAAGCTGTTTTGCTACATTACAAAAAAAAAACTTGACGGGCCTGTTGATCTCGTGGTTAGTGATCCTGACTGCTAAGCCAAGGATCATCATCATCAACAGCTTTTAACAGTCCACTGCTGGACATAGGCCTCTCCTTCGAAAGGAGGTTTTGGCCTACTGTACCACGCTGAACAGACGTGTGTATTGTTCAAGATTTACTTCCTTTGCAGTGCTGTTTTCCTGCATAGTGTCCATTAGTCGCCTTTTGCGATGCTTACGGGATGAATAGGGATGTTGGCAATCCGTATTCTTAATCCGTCACTACACGGTATAATGCTAGCTGATAATATGACCTAATTAAACAATAATGTATACACAACATTTATGAATACAAAGATCATTATTGAGACCTAATGTATTATGAAGGTCTTCTAAGAATGGTAAAACACTTATCAACGTATCCAGTTATCAGTTCAAAGATATTGTATAAACCTTGCATTGTCTGTGTAAAATGCCTCTGACAATTTAATGTGTTTATCCGTCTTTATAAATAATTCAGTGTTATCATAATCTTAAAAGGATAGTGTGGTTTAAATACGTTGAATTTTCTTACTATCAGAAGAAGGGTGGACGGACCGGAGGACGGTCATCAAATAATTTTGTTAGCTAAAACTAAAAAGTGAAAAAAGTTGAGCCTTTTAAACAAATAGTTGAACCGACTTCAAACAATACTGACAAAAAGCACTAAAAATACAAAAAAAATTACAAATCTAAGTAAAATAATAATAATAAGTGCCCTCAATATAACAGCTAACATTATAATAGCAATAGTCCCTTCTTGACTCACTTGACTTAATATCCTAAGTCCCCGAGATGGGGCAGAGGGCGTCCACGTCTTGCCGATTCTCTTCACCTCATGTGCGACAGTGCGCCGCCAAGTTTGCTTTGGGCGGCCACGCTTTCATTTACCTTGAAAAACTTGACTTTGTTAGTGATCCTGACTGCTAAGCCTAGGATCATTATAATAGTCCCCTGCTGGACATAGGCCTCTCCTTAGTAAGGAGGTTTTAGAATACTAAAAAAAATGCGTGCAATGAATTCTCAAATTTGAATATTTAGGTATGAATGAAAAAATACCTAATACTTTCTTTAAAGTTAAAGCACAAAAATAACTTGATATCTTTATTAGATTTACTCGTGTATATTCATGTATTAAAACTAATAATATTGCATATAACAAAGTATGTAACATTGCTTAAGATATTTTCACGGTAATTAAAGTGTGTTATTACTTTATTAGTCTTGTATGTAAGGAGCAATTTAGATATTTTAGTTTTAATTAAATATAACATGTAGTAAATATGTGCTTCATTGACTATACTATCAAAATATACAATTCCTAGCTTTTGCGCGCAGCTCTGCCCGCGTGTATGACGATTATCACGACAAAAAGTAGCCTATGTTACTTGAATTTTTCAAATCAATTTAGTGGTTTAGGCGTGAAAACGTAGCAAGCAAACAAACAAAATAAATTTCACAATTTTATAATAATTATGGATGTTTAAGGTAATTAAGAATTAACGCGCTCACGATAGGCTTTCAGGCTGAGTTCGCCTATGACCACGGCTATTGCTCCCTTGACGAAGTATTTACTTACTTAATAGGTACAGTAAATAGTAACTTAGTTTTAAACTTACTAACACCTATTACATTCTTTTGAATTGCCCGGCGTTTCGACCAGAGCTTCAATTCTGCTATTTTATGTTTCGTACAAGCCACTGTCATCACATTGACACGCTATTGCGATGCCATTAAGAACATAAATTTACAGTGTCAATAGACTATCGGTGTAGTGGTAATGATTCATCAATGGTGATATCAAAAACCTATCTGTCAAATTAAATATATCATTTCTTTACAAATTTAAAATGTAACGTTTACTAAACTACTGTTAAGACAACGATTACATTTCGTACCAGTGGCAGTTCAGTGACAAGTCATTGGGAGGCAATTTTTCTTACATAGTTAGTAGAATACGAAAAGTGCTAAACTATTCCGACGACAGCCCATTGACAGCCTATTGATATAATCTATTTATATATAAGAGATTTCCACGTATATAGTCACTCATCACGATATCTCTGGCACCATTAGAGCTATAGACTTGAAATTTGGTAGGAATATTCTTTTCACCGAGTAGAGGTCAGCTAAGTACGGATTTTAAGAAATTATAAAAATTAAAATTAAAATAATGTAAATAGCAAAACAGCGTTTGCAGGGTCAGCTAGTATTAAAAGAACAGAATAATAGCCCAGGTCTTAGTTAGCTTGAGACAACAGCTTGTGCGTGTTACATGATAAATATATACCTAATAACTAACCTATTGAACTGTTTAGGATTAATTTCCTGTAAACTACACATGTTTGAAGCAAATAAATATTTATTATTTCAAAAACTTTTACAAAAGTTACGATTTTTAACAACTAAGAAACTATAACATTAAATGAAGATAAAAGATAATTATTGAACAAGGTAATTATTGAAAAATATTTGCTAAAAATCTGACTCCGTGAAAATTTTGAACCACTTAAAATTTATACACTGGAAAACCCTAAGCTTTCTTCTTATGCAGTCGTTTAATAAAAAAAAATAAAAGCGACTTCTTTAAAATACCATTTATGTAAATCACGAAATTTTACATCCTGACTACTAAACTACTACTACAGTAGAACTCCAATTATCCGAATTAATGGGGACCGGGACCCATTCGGATAATCAAATATTCGGATAATCGGATTTTTTAAAAAAAAATTGCCATTGGAGAGAATAAAAGCTACGTTTTGATATTGCACTATTTTTTTATTGAATTAAATGAAAGAAACATGAAATTTTCACATGTTTTAAATATAAATAAAATGTACTTATGTACAAGTTTAGAAATAAAAATCATTGTTTTTTAAACATCTCCGTCAATGTAAGCTGTTTTGCGGTCTTCAACCGTTTTCGGGCAGCCAGGTCACGCATTCGCTTGACGGTGAGCAGTTGCAAGTGGTCACACACGGGCTGACGCTCCATCCACTTCAAAGCAGTCTCGAGGCCGGCAAATGCTTCACTAGCTGATGGTCCAGCGTCTACTTCAACATCAGCAGAAAGTTCTTCTTCCACTTCCACTTCAACATCTTCTCTCACACTTACAACAATTTCATCGTCATTGAGAATTTGAAAACCAGGGTCAGACGTGTCACAAGCCATCCACTCTCCTACATCTTCAGCACTTACTTCTGTACAACCAGGAATTTTTACAATCATTTTTCTTATTTCCTCTAGTGACAACGCATCTTTATCATCATCATCATCCTCTCCATATTCTTGTTTCTCATTTTCTTCAGATTCTTTTTTTTTGTTCTTCTCAGACGGTAGGCCTTTCAGTTTATTCCACGCACGTCTTAGCGTCACTGCCGTAACCAAACTCCAAGCTTCCGCTACCATGTAACAGCAGTCCTTTAAATTTATTTTGCTATGATTTGCCAAAACCAATTCTTCATCTTCAGCACCTTCGATCAGCAGTTTTCTCAGCAGTTGCCTTCTGTAATGGCGCTTCATTGTTTCAATAACAGACTGGTCCATGGGTTGCAGCAAACTTGTAACATTGGGAGGCAAAAACGTCGTTTTAAACTGCCCATTCTCTCTTTCCAACAGTTCTGCTGTAGGATGAGTGGGTGCGTTATCTACAATTAAAAGCACCTTACTGCCTTCTTTTCCCACCGATTTTTGGTGCTTTTTCACTTCAGGAATAAACACTTCATCAGGCCTTGGGTTGACTTTTGTAGAAGAGTGGAAGTTTTTTTACGTTTTTAAATGCTCTTGGATTTCTTGATTTTCCTATCAAAAGAAGTGGCAGTTTATGATTTCCAGTGGAGTTGGCACAGTTAAGCACTGTAACACGTTCTTTACTGACCTTATGTCCAGGGGCACTAGATTCCCTTTTAGAAGCCAAAGTGGTGTTTGGTAATGCTTTCCAAACAAGGCCAGTTTCATCGGCATTATAAACAAACTCCGGATCATAGGATTCTGATGCAGTTTTAAATTTTTCAATAAAATTTTCAGCAGCTGCAGAGTCTGCTGAAAGCTTCTCACCAGCCAAATCTAACTCGCGTACACCATGCCTGAATTTAAAATTCCTTAGCCAGCCGTTACTAGCCTTAAAAGATGAATAACCAAGCTTTTCTGCTAAGATTTTTGCTTTTTCACAAAGGATTGGACCTGAAATCGGATTTCCCATAGAACGTTGCTGCAAAAACCATTTAAACACGGCATCTTCCAAATTTTTGTTGGTTGCTGTCTTCATTGTTTTCCTGGAGGAACTTCCATCTTCATTTTCAAGCACCGAAACAAAGTTTAAAAGTGTTGACTTACTGTTTTTAATGTCAGAAATTGTTGCTTGTCCAACACCATAAATCTCAGACAACTTCTTACCCGTTACACCTTTATCGAGTTGCTCTATAATTTTCAGTTTGTCCGCTAACGATGGCACAACACGTTTTCTTTTCGAAGCCATGGTATAAAAACAATACAGTATTGTACACGCACAAACAAAAGTAAGCCGTAGCGAAAGAGTAGCGTCCTCGAGCAAGGTCAATGGCACACTGGCTAATCAAAACAAACAATGACAGGTGCGCCGTGAATGCAATGCGCCGGAACTTGTCTTAACTTGCCGTTGTGCCTACACACGCGGGGGGAAGTCAGTGTAGGCACAACGGCAAGTTAAGACAAGTCAAGTCAAGACTTGACGCGCAAACACTGGCTTCGCGGGGGGAAGAATAATAGCGCACTTAGACTTTTTTTGGACAATTTTTTGTGATTCGGATAATCGGCGATTCGGATAGTCGGAGTTCGGATAATTGGAGTTCTACTGTACTACCAAACTACTTGGGACAGGATACTAGGGTTAACTAGGATTGAGGTGGAGCAAACGCCCGACCACTTAATAAAGCCAATGAAAAATATAACAGAGTAGCAAGATGATGATGATGATGATAATAATATTGAAACCAAGACATATTCTTTATTACAGAGTCCAGTAGAAAATACAGAAGAACCGAACTCCAAAGAGGTATTTGAAGACGTACTGCTAAGGTTACAGGCTCTAGGAGACAGAGGAAAAAGAGTACTGATGAAACTACATCAGACTATGGGCGTTGAATATCATGAAAAGGTAATCAAGATTAACGAAATAAATTCGAGACCCTAATTCTGCCGTCATAACGATAAAAGACACAATTAAGAACTAACTCGACTGCGACTGCACGGATGGCGTACTGGTTTAAGCGGTCACCTCGCCGCTTCCTGCTGCGATACTCAAGTTGTGGGTCCGATCCCCACACGGGACAACACTTTGTGTGATCTACAAATTGTTGTTCTGAGTCTGGGTGTTCTTTGTGTCCGTTTCCATGTATGTTTGTAAAGTCCCCGCGACACAGGATGTAATCCTAGTGCAGGAGTTGTCTTTTAAAAAAAAACTCGCCTTTGTACAAATAGTTCCCTTAATCACTTATTTAACAAAATGTATTGTAAAAGACATATGTTAAATGAAGTTATCAATAACTGCCCATGAAGCGCTGAAGTCCTTTCTCAAGTAATAGATTACATTAGAAAACACCTAACGACGATTTTGACCATGTCTCTAATATTAATTTAAAGGTGAATTAATCAAAACCAATCCTCTACAAAACCCAAGAAGTCTACTTCCTTCTCTCAAGAAAAGTTTTCCCCTTCTGTCAAATTTCAGCTTCTCTTATTAACGTATAACTCTTCCAGGTACCACCCGCAACGGCCAAGTCAGAGATAATGTCAGCAGTCAAAGGGAGCGATGAAGAATTAGATAGACTTAGAAAGGTTCTAGTTGAAGCAATTGATGAAGAGAAGAGTAGAGCAGAGAGAAGAAGTGAGTTATTTTTTTTATGTTACTTGATGGTAATCCGTCAGATGGTAACGAGACGAAAATATGGTTCTGAATTTTTCATCATCATCTTCATCCTATCGCAGTCCACTGCTGGACATAGGCCTCTCCCATTGCACGCCACTTAGATCGATTTTGGGCTTCTCGCATCCAGCTCCTGCCAGCCATCTATATATTATATTAGCCGCAGAACCGACAACCGTTGGGGAAAACGAGTTCTTAAGTGGAGACCGCGTCTCGGCAAACGTGTACGACGCCCACAGGCCAGGTGGAGTGACGATTTGCGCAAGATGGCTGAATGTTTAATGTTGGTCAAATGATTTATATAGCGTGTTGACTGTTATATTTGTATCTGTATTTGACTGTCAAGTTTAGTCTAGTTTAGGCTAGAGATTCCCACCCAGGGCAAGTAACTGTGTTATGGGCGTGATCATTTGTTCTGAGTCTATAAAATATACTTAGGTGTATTTTATCTATAATATATGTGTATTTTAAAGAAATGTACGTATCTATGTCTTTCAGCAGTCTAGTTGCCATAGTACAGGGTCTGCCTGGCTCGGGATCAGACGACCGTGTGTTAAATGTATCAAGGCATTATTATTATTATAAGAAGAACATTAACTTATCAGGTTTAAACTATGTAATCAAAATAATTCGTATATTGCTTAGATGATTGACATATTAATAATCTAAGGTATATCGAATACAAAGTAGACAGATAAGTATTTGCTTTTAATTGACCTAGTTTTAAGGACAAGTGGGGACGTCTGAAACAATAGGTACTTTATCAATATTGTTATCTGATCTATAAAATATACTTACATTACTGACGTTAGAAATGTTGATTAACCAAGCTAATGGCCTCGTATAAAACCAAACATTCCGCAAAACAGAATCTTGGCTTTTCGCCAGTACTTTTTGTTTAGTAAAAGCATCGATATTATTACAGATGTAGTCTGAATCTTTGTTTTGTTTAATAGCAGTTTGGGTTAATAATTAATATCGTCTAGAATTAGTCCATCTGTGCTGTTCAGAATGAAGTTTAATATAAATGTTTACCCCTATCTTTCCTTCAACTTCAACAATTTAAGTGGGCAAAATGAACTGCGTACCTAAATTAGATAGAGCCATAGATTTAAAGAAATAATAAGACGTATATAATGGGCCTGTTGATCTAGTGGTTAGTGACCCTGACTCCTAAACCGGAGGTCGTGGGTTCGATCCCCACCCATGACAAATATTGAGTGATGAGCACGGTCATCTCTTCTGTGTCTGGGTGTAATTTATCTATAATATGTATCTATTTAAAAATATATAGGTATGTTTATTAGCAGTCTGGTTGCCATAGGCTCTGCCTAGTTTGGGATCAGACGTCCGTGTATATGCTAGATATATAATGGAGATAATTTGAACATCAGTGTTTATAGATGTAAAAATAAAACTTTGATGTATTATAAGTATCATTCATGTTTAGGACAGAGAGTTCAAATTCTTTCTCTAATTTTAACATTTATTTTAAAAGAAAAGCGTCAAGAAGCAATGGAGCAAGCTCGCGCTAAACGAGAGACCATGCTGGCACATATAGAGCTTCAGAAGTCCTTCAATGAAGATGACGAGGCCAGAGATTACGCCGCAGAAGAGGTAAGCTTCGATTCTCCTGATCTTTACAAATAAAATTCCTTGCCTTGGCTGACTGATTCATCAATGCGTAGCTTAAACCGCCGAAACTACAAACTTGAAATTTTGGCAACTGATAGTTTTGTGTTCTAAGCGCCCACTAAGAAAGGATTTTTGGAAATTTCACTCCAAAGGAGATGAAATAAGAGCTAATCGGTTGTATGGAAGTCAGTCATGTTAACTCTTTGGCCTTTGATGATCTTAGACTAGGATTGATGAAAACTCTGTGCCATGATTTTCCCTACTCTCATATCGTGATATCTTTCAGGGTCTGGAGCCAGATGGTGTTGCAGAACACCACATGCAAATAAACGAAACAACTCCTCTAGACATGAGTAACTCCGAGTTCTGGTCCTCATTCTCCAGCAGTGAGGAGGCGTTGTTAGAGTGCGAAGGTCTAATACTGAATCTACCCTTGACACCGCATTCCTCCTGTGTCAAGAACGCCTCTGAGAATCTGTCTTTTGCTGCTGCACAATCCAATGCGCTCACCTATAGGTAAGGACATCACTTTTATTAGTTTCATCTGTAAACATAAAATAAAAAACATACTTCGAGATTGATTCTTTAAACAATTGTATAGCTGTGACTCCTAATGATCCTCTTAATGATCTTAATAAGCCTTCTCCTGATCACGTTTAGCAGTATCAGCAGCAGGAAGAAAACCTTCCTGCTGCTGATACTGCTAAACGTGATCAGGAGAAGGCTTATTCCGCGCCTAGGAGACGGCGGAGATAACAGCAGAGAGTGGAGAACTCTCTTGAACCGCCACGTGCGGAAGCTTGCAGCTTCCTTTGGGATAAGGCCTGGACAGATTCTGGCAGGACTTTGAAATGACATGGTCTTGGTCCTATCCAGAGTAGAGAGATCTAAACCCAGACAGGTTTTTAGTATAGACACTACATACATTTGGCTCCTGCATCACGCTCCCTCGGGAGCCGGCAATCCACCATAAAAACGAACTAATGAACTCTAAAATATATTTTTGTGTATTAGGAAAGCAATCGAAATGTTATCTCATCTGTTTCCCTCAGAGTACCAGCAAATGGCTACTACTTCTTCGTATTTTCTTCGGAGAACGAGGTAAACACGAACTTCATCCGCGCCCGCTTCGAGCTGCAGAAGACGCGCTACGACATCGCGCGCTCCACGCTGCGCCGCTGCACCAACAGCACGCAGCGCTGCGACCTGCCGCTCGACATCTTCTCCTCGCAGAAGGTGAGCACCGGCTCTCTTCACACCTTAAAAATTATTATAATAACCTTACATATCACACACACGGCCGTCTGATTCCAAACTAGGCAGAGCCCGTACTAGGGTGATCAGATTGGTGAGAAACATATTTATATATTTCTAAATCCGTGTGGTGATGGATTTAGAAAACGGAGTGTTACTATTTATGCCTTAGATTTCGTAAGAACTGACTAAGGGAGCAAGCTATGCAGAACAACAGCACTGCAAAGAGAAGACCCCGTCTGGCCAGTGTGGTATACCACACAAATGCCTTTCTAAGTCCTATGTACAACAGTGGACTATTTTAGACTGTTGTTGATGATGATAATGATGTTGTTTCTAAATAAATAGGTATATATTATAGTTAAATAAGACTCAGAACAAATGATCGTGCTCATCACAGAATTATTTTCCTCTGGCTGGGAATGGAACCCACGACCTCACTAGCCTTTAGGCCAACAGGCTAGTTAAATAAACCAACCTAGAACCTAGTCAGAGAATAGTAATGACGCAATAACTTTCAAATAAAGATATACCTATTTATTTTGATCAATAAAAAGTAGCAGTAGAAAGGTTATTTTTTGGAATTGGAAAAAATATTTTTTTCTCGACTCTTTATATATCGATAAGACACAGAAAATCCTATAATTAATTTAAGTACCACTTTAATGTTACACTGCAATAAAGAGTTGCTAATCCTCTCCTTAGAAGACCTAACCATTCTAGAGGAATTAGATGTCTAAAACTATTTGGATATCTGACTCGAAACGACTGCGACTCTAAAAATCCGCTGTCTGCCCTGACCCTTATTACAACAAGTAAGAACTTGCCCTTTAAAATTTCAGGTTGTATTGGAATTGCCTTTACGCAACAACGACTCATTGTGGAACGAGCAATTTGTCATAATATCTGAGTGCGAACCAAGAACTTCCATTTACATGGTGTGCGTAATCGCTGTACCTATTTTGATTGTAGTTTTTGCTTTCCAATGATACTAAACAGTATTATAATCTAGTACTGTGAAGTGACTAGGAGATCTTTATTGATATATTTTTATAATAGCGTTCTTTTTTAGACATTGTGTTGGTAACTCTAGAAGTGGTGACGAAATAGAACGATTCACCCTTACCCTTTCCTTTCTTGGTACAGGTCTCCTTGTAATGTCACACTTCATTGACCCTGTCAGGGAGGGAAGGCGAGTCAATAAAATGTACGTAGTTTATGGATTACCCCTAATCTAAATTTATAAAGACTTTTTGTGTAACATAAGAACAATTAACAATTAAATGTATATTTAACTCGCAAGATGTAGTAACATCTTTGCTATAATTTTTATTTCAAATTATTTTCTCCGTTTCGAGAAAAAGAAATGATGAAATCCAACAATTTTAGAAATAAATCAAAATGTTTAAGTAGCGGTATAAACCACAAAATAAAAACAACATTTTACTAGTAGTGACATCTATTAATAATTATACGAACTGTTAAAAGACGCTTTGTGATATTTAAGTATAGAGTCATCTAGCGGTGATTCTGATTACTAGAATAAGATCTCTGTAACTCAGCCTTTAACACATTATAATAACTTCATATTATTATTAATGTTTACGATCAGTATCGTTAAAAATAAAAAGTTTAGTAATTGCCTAGAATTAAAATACATTATTATGCTAATAGTGTTTAAAAGATTGTTATGTAGTTTTAAGAAATAAAACGCCATCTTTATGGTGTTTATGTGATAATTGGACAAAAGTGCCATAATGTACAAAGATTATTACCGTAAATGATTTATTGATGTTTTAAGGTCGAAGACGAAAAATAAAAATTCATAATAGAAAAATTTGTTTTTTTAACAATATTCCTCTTATAACTACTTATCCTCTTATTCCTTAACTAGCTGAGACCCGCGGTGTTACCCGCGTTTGTTGTTTAAACCGCGGGCAACGCCACGAGGCGAAGCTAGTCTAAAAAAAGTAGCCTAAGTTACTCCTTATGTCATCAGCTATCTGCCAGTGAAAGTCCCGTCGAAATCGGTCCAGCCGTTCCAGAGATATCCCGGAACAAACAGACAGATAGATAGACAGACAGACAGACAAAAATTGTAAAAAAAATTGTTTTGGCATATGTACCTATCGTGTAAACATACATATGCATTTAATAAAAAGCGGTTATTTTAATATTACAAACAGACACTCCAATTTTATTTATTTGTATAGATTTATAGTCCGAATCAACCTCGAGATAAGAAAGATGACAGGAATTAATTAAGAAAAATAATTATATTTGAATTGCCGCCAAATTTTAATGCAACGATTTCGAGAATAACTAAGAAGTGAATTAAGATTTTGTAACTACTAGTTGCCTCATGTTATTTTTAATTACACAATAATAAGTAGATAAAAATTTGATAATTATGAGATAGTCGTACGGTAACTGGCATGGCGACGCGTCGTCACACCGAATTACGAACTCGTACATGTTACAATGCTCTTTGTCACAATCTTACATCTGCTTGTTAAAATGCAAACTGCACCAACAGTGATTGGCATTTGTATACTTTGATACTGTTACGTACAGCGAACAATTACCTTTTATAAAATTTTTGCACGTAGTTTGTTAACAGAAAGAACAACGTAAATATTTAGCATTTTAATACGTGTGTACATTACACAGTCAATGTTTCTGCAAAAGGGACAATAAGACATCTTGAAATAAACAACATTCATACACAGAAGGACAAGACGTACAATTTCAATTGTCTAACCGAAATAATGCTATTCTTCTTTTTATAACATAGGGGAGCTAACGAGCATTCGGGTGACTTGAATGTAAGTGACTACCTCCGCCAACGGACAGTATTTCAGTATTTCAGTAGTAATTCCGTAGGTATCGTAAGAGCCGACTAATGAAGCAAACTACGCAGAACAATAGCACTGTAAAGACAAGGAACATTTAAAACAAACCCTATACTGATCCATCTGCCCTGAGTGGTACAGTAGGTCAAAACCTTCTTTTTAAGAAGAGACCTATGTCCAGCAGGAGACTATTAAAGGGTGTTGATGATGATGATGATGAATGATGATAAATGTTGCATAACGCGGCAAATTTATTCCTTTTGAGAGACGCAGACGAGCTTGTGCGGGACTAATACTAGAGAGTAGACTAGTATCTTAAGATGTGTAAAAAATGTTAAGGGCTGGTTAATGATCGCCGAAGGTGGCAGAACGACCTCCGTCCTCCATAAGCGCAGGCCGGGGGGTGACAGGTGAGGCCATCTATCACCCTAGCAGAAGCAGGCCGGGGTGGCGGCGAGCGCGTTGCGAAGCACGCTTGGTTCCAGAGAGCAGAGGGAACATGGGGTTCCCACACGAGGGGGGTCGTCTACTCGTCTGTAGATGGCCCGAGATATGTCGGGGCAACAGGGACTTCCTTTCTAGGGTATACCTGGTTCCCCGGCTATTAGTACCCGAGACGCCACCGATAGGTGGTATCCGAGGGGAATTCCGCACGGAAAAAAAAAGGGCTGGTTAATGATGGTCTTTCACAGTTTACTGTGATTTTGTCCCATGCCTAATTACCAGCATATGATTAGTACAAGATATAAAAATACAGCTTCAGTAATATACAAAACCCATGTACTATGTACTATCCTATCTGTAAATGCTTCTACACGACAGAAATAGAAACAGAAGTTGGATTTTTGTAAGACCGTTTTTTTATTCTGACTTTATCGAAGTTTTTAACTTATTGCGATAGAGCCAAGAAAGGAGAGTTAAATGTTTAAGCTGTAAAACTCTACGTCCCCTCTGAACTACTAAACGGCTGAACCAATTTATATTATTAACTAGCTTCTCTGACAGAATTCGTCATTTTAAAAGTCATTAGAATTTTGTAAAAATGTAATAAAAAGTATTTCAGAGTGATTACTTTTCTTCAAACTTTATTTTGAGCAGGCATAGATTAATATCCATGCAGCTTATCAACTTGAAGACATAGATAGTAATAATAATTAGTTCACGCATCTCACACACAGCCGTCTGATCCCAAACTAGGCAGAGCCTGTTCTATTGTAACCAGACTGCTGATAAACATACTTATATATTTCTAAATACATACATTTTATAGATAAATTACACTGAGACACAGAACGCTTTATCGTGCTCATCACAAAATTATTTGTCCTGGGTGGGAATCAAACCCACGACCTCCGGCTAGCTGTCAGGGTCACTTACCACTAGACCAAAAGGCTCATCAAACTATAATCCATACTAATATTATAAATGCGAAAGTGTGTCTGTTTGTCTGTCTGTCTGTTACCTCTTCATGCTTTAACCGTTTTGTTTTGAAGACGCCAATTGTTTGACAGCTAGAGACAACTCTTTACTCTATGGGTCGTATGAGAAAATAAAAGTGATATTTTTGTCTATTACGTTTTTTCTCTCCAAGAACCTTCCTAGTCTAAAATAAATTAGCCAAATTGGTCGAGCCGTTCTCGAGTTTTGCGCTTGCAACACATTCGGCGTTTTTATATTTAAACGCGAGGTTTGTCTTTTATATATAATATTAAAACGTCTTAAGAATGACCATTAAAATTGCTCATTTCAAGCTAACCGTACAAGTTTAGTTTACCTACAACAAATCTATACTAATATTATAAAGCTGAAGAGTTTGTTTGTTTGTTTGAACGCGCTAATCTCAGGAACTACTGGTCCGATTTGAAAAATTCATTCAGTGTTAGATAGCCCATGTATCGAGGAAGGCTATAGGCTATATATCATCACGCTAAGACTAATAGGAGCGAAGCACCAATGAAGAATGTTTCAAAAACGGAGAAAATTTATTACTATTGAGAGACGCAGATGAAGTTGCGCGGGTCAGCTAGTTTTATAATAACTCAAGAATTCTTAGTACCCTAATTGACCCAAATTAGAACACTAAACCCATTACACATCACATCGCATGGTCACCATAACCGAGCCATGAAGCAAGCCATCAAATAAAACCATTACTTATTATTGTGTCAATATCCTTCATATTCTAACCGTGACAGCAGTTACCCTCATAAATTCTAAACGTATTTCTCAGTAGCCATATTGTGAACTATAAATTCATGGTCAAATTGACACTGCACCTTATGGTTCTTTTACAGCCGTTTTACGATGTTTTAATGAATTATGAAACTAATATTAAATTTACACTTCTAGGACTATAAGCTTTGGACTATTGGTAACTTGTTATGTTTAACTCGTTTCAGATACGGCTGACTTGTAATTGTAACACTAGCATTTTCCCCAGGCATCCCTCGCTTTTTTATATACGATCTTACTACTCCGCCCGCGTGTATGTCGGTTATCGCAATAAAAGCACCCTATGTCCTTCCGCAAGCATCAAACTATCTCCCTACAAAATTTCATCAAAATCGGTTCAGGGGTTTTTGATTGCCACATACAAACTTCCACCCACCTTTTCACCCCCTAAAGGGATGATTTCGGGGATATTTGTATATTTTTTCTAAGGAGAGGCCTATGTCCAGCAGTGGACTATTAAAGGCTGTTGATGATGATGATGGTATATTTGTATTTTAATTGAAACAGGGAGGATCATACTTTGGCACACGTAATTATGGACCAGCTTGACCGGAGTGGAACAATGACAGCCGGATGGCGTATTGGTTCGTGTAAAGGACTGCTACGCAACGATCGCGGGTTCGATTCCTACTCCAGTCCAACATTTGTGTGCATAAACATTTTATGTTCGATTTGGTCTGGGTGTTTCTATGGAAAATATGTATTTACAATAAGAAAGTATATATGTATACATATTTATGTCAGTTGTCTGGTACCAATAGTACAAGCTAGCTAGCTAGCTAGATAGCTTTTCTGGTGGACATAAAATATCCGGATATTCTTGAAAACTAATAGCCAGATTATAGTGCTGTAAAATCTCAAGCAGAATATTTCGTCCATCGGCTTTTCTAATGATCTACCAGTTT